CAGGGCCAGCCTTACTAAAGGCAAGTAGACTATTATTGATTTTAATATCTTCAGATATTTTAAACTCATAAACACCGCTTTGGCATTTCTGTTGCACTACATTACATACATAGTACTCACGATGAGAAATTTCAGATCGCAGACCTGGCAATAGTGCTGTCTCATGATGTAGTAAGACACTGCACTTTAACACAACACTTAACCTTCACTTCCAAAAGTTGAATGTTTTCCCTCTTAAAATAAGCATAATTATTTCACTGAGGTGATAGTTTGGGGTTATTTTAGGAGTAATTATTTTAAATGCACACATAAAGCTGTTTCTAGGCACTGCAAATTTGTGAAGACTACACATTACCTATTATAACCCTGACTTAATAGACAAAACTTTCTGCGAGTGAACAATATAATTAATGGTTATTCCTGTTTTAAGGAATGCAAACTGTTTTTTAAAAAATTTGAAAAGCTGAGGTAAGATTTCAGGCCATATTTTTATCTTATACAATTTTACATAAGAAAAGGTGTTAAGGGTATAACTTCAAAATCTTTGATGTAAGTGTGCACATAACACTATGTATCGAAATAACATGACTCACCCACACAAGTGAAGTAAAATAAAGAATCGAATTGGTTCTTCAATCAATCAAAACATAATGAATTTTCATTTTAGTGTGAGGATGATCCACCTGACTGTCATTTTGGAAAATTTGTTGAGATCTTAGGTAATAAACTTCTTTCTTCATGAAGAGTTTTATGCCACCTGATATTCAAAATAAATTTTTGTGTCTTCTAGTTTTGAAGTGTTTTTCTTTTTGGGAAATAGAGAAATGCATACACATTTACATTGGAGGCCAAGTATACACAGAAGCACACATACTTAAAAATAATATTGGATTCTTAATAGGAACACTAGTAGTAAGTTTAGGACTTTACAAAAAAACTTAAACTCTCCTAGAAAGAGATTTCAAACACTTAATGCTTGGCTAGATTTTTAGATTGTTTAATACTCCATGTATTTTCAATGCATAAGGAAGCAAAGATGTCTGATAGTGTATGCTCGCTCATTAAACTAAAGTAGAAATTAATCTTCCAATGTTTTGAGCAATCTTTGAGGGGGAAAAAAGAAAAGTGCAAAATATCCCAGGAGACAGGCAGTATGACAGTGCCAACCCTTTTCCTGCTCAATCCAACATAATCCTCATAAGGAAGGATTATATACTTTATGAAGAGTGATGACTGCGGGAGATTAATCAAGTGTTACCTTCTTAGCATAAAAATTGAAGCAAAATATCTTCAAAATTTGAAGTGACAGAAAAAAAATATTTATACTGTGGATCTTTTGCTGAAATCATTAATTTAAGGGAATACATGCCATGAGAGAGTTTGTGTGCGCCTGGGGACTCATATGAACAGGAATCTACATTCGAGAATCTCCTGTTAGAGAAGTGGGAATAGGGACAGACAGTGGATGGCATCATTATTAAAGACTCTTCAACCTTCATCTTTTCTAAGATACAGTTAACTCTTTACGGTATCTTGTTCTTTTGCAACTCTATCTCAATTTTACGTATTTGGGCTGACTCTAGGCACTTACCATATCCTTATTACTTCATTTACATTCAATATTGTGCTTAATTCATATTTGCTCTAATTCTGTTATAAGCCATAAAGTTTCAAATGAACTTTATTGATTTTTCATGAGAGCTCTGAAGTGAATTGACATAATTATTTTTTTAGGTTGATTTGTAAAATTATGTGGTTTTGAAATTTTATTTTAGGAAAAAATTTTTCTGGGCTAGTATACTTTCTTCTATGAGACTATATTAAAACTGACTTTAGTAGGTCCTGTAGGAGAACACAGATATCTAAAATAAAAAGAAACAAGGCAAAATCCAGGGGACCCTATCATCAAAAAGATGTCACTGCCTTTTCCTTTCTTCTCAGTGAGGACTTCACTGAAAACACCTGTTGAGAAATCTCCAGAGAATTAACTTACTATTTTGTTTTTTTTTTTCCTCAAGGCAAGGGCTCATATATCTCAAGCCAGCTTCAAATTCTGGGTATTACCAAGAATGACTTCGAACTTCTGATTTACTGATTTGCTGCCTTCATCTCCCTTACCCCTGGTATTATAAGGGTGGGCTTGTTCTTAGTAAGCCACGATAGCAGTCATTCAGAACTGGTAAATATTTTTAGGTTAATGCTATATTTTACATCTCCCAATGAAATAATACACATGGAAAACTGCAATGGAAAATGATGTTATGTATATACAATAGCTTACCTTACCTACTAAAAATCTGTGTTTCTATTCTTCAAAACAACGTCTATACCTTAAAATAAACACAATTTTCACTGTAACTTTAATACTATGACTCCTGTGCTGTTAAGGGTTTTTGGTTTTTTTTTTTTTGAAACATGTCTATAGTCTAAACGCTTCATAGCCTGATTTTATTTGTACAAATCCACAAAGTTTAATAAAAATAAAATATCTTTTCACAAATCTTTGTTAATAGTATACATGCACCTACGATGAAACAAAAACTGCAAGCATAAACCTTAGGTCTGGCGAACAAAATACTTTCAGACTTAAGCAAGTTTTTGCTTTAACTGTAATGGGAGACTTCCAGCTCCAAAGTTCCTATATTTCATATTATCTTGTACAAAGCACAGCTATAAAACTTTCATAAATAACCCGTTCATAAATGAACACTATGCACCTTCAAAACGCCAAGCAAGGTACTGGAAAATAAAGATAAAACAGAGCTACTGGCTGTTGTTCCAACTTGATTTTGTGGAATAAGAATATACCTCTAGAAAGAGATATGAAATTAGTAGCATATTTATTCTTCAGGTTAATATGCACACACTGACAAATGGGATTCCTGTAGATTTTCATAAATCCTCTGAGCAAAAGGTGTTTGCAGTACAATTGTTAAGGGAAGAAAGGGGGGCATAGCAACTGGCTAATTTATTATGGTTTTCATAATATCAATATTGTTCATTTCCAAGGAGATTCATTAACCAGGATTTCATACTTCATCCTTTAATGAAATGGGAAATAACTGTTAGCTTTTTACATTGAGATATTTTAAAGAGAAATTAAGACTCTTTGGGGGGAAAATGTAAGCTCTAAAGTTCATTTTGTACTGTAGTGGAATAGATTAAAAATTAAAAGTAAAAGAATACTGAGCCAGTTTTCTATTTTCTGATTAAATTATGTAAGGGGTTGGATAGTTTTTGCAATTTTCTTGGCATGTATTTTACTCTTAGGGAGAAGTTACGACTACCACCCATAACCAAAGACCAGCTTCAAGGGCAATGTTGTTAACACAGTATAAGCACCACTTTTCTCCAAATCTTTGGATATTTCTATTCAAGAGTCTTCTCCACTTGTCTGGCTGAGAAGCCAGACTTGCTGAGAGTTTTAAAGTACCAACTTGACTTGATGATATTTTTTAATGCTGGAAACTAGATGAGAATTCAAGTCACAGCACTTAAAGTAGATGATTAAATCCTAGCCCTTTGTGACAACCTTGCCCGTGCATAAATAGAGAAAAGCTATACAATATATTTACAGTTCCAAAATGACTATAGCACATCTATAAATAAGCATTTTATCATAGTTCCCTCTGTAGAGATGTTAGTGATCATAAATATCAATTTCACACAATTAGAGAAAGACATTCTTAGCAGCCAAGGTTTTAGAGTTGAGAATTTCTTTCATGTTTTATATAAACTTTAAATCCATGGTTACAAGATTATCCATATACAGTGAATACTATACAAGGTGGAACTTGATACTTCATGAGTCAACAGCACCATCCCTGATGAGTCTGGTTCACTTTGCTGTCATGGGCAATATCTTCTGTTAAGTATGAGGACATGGAAGATTTACATTAGCAGGGCTATAAAGCTTCAGCACACTATTTGGACAATAATAACTTTTCCGCATAACATTATGGACAGGTGACTGTCCATTTGCTTCAAAGTAACTTCCACCTCAAGTGTCACTTTTGATTAAGCTGAATTGAAAATTCAAGCATTGCTCATTTGGGGTAATTTGCAACAACACATGCTTATAAATATTATGATAACCAAGAATTAACTTCTATGTGATACCACTCAGTAGTAGACAAAGGAAACCAGACGGTGGCTAGACCACCACACCAGTCATCAATTTTTTTTAAAGGAACCAATGCCTATGCTTTTGGCAATGATTTTATTTTCATTTTATGTTAAAATTATGTTTCAAAAATAGAAACAAGAAATGTAGGATTCAGTGCAACTACATTCCCTGTATTAGTCTTTGGAGTAGACGGTTCATTCCCTATTTACTACAGGAAATTTACAAGGAAACTGTGGGACTAGAGAGATTCTTTCAAAGATGTTTCCTGATCACTGTGCCTAACAGGTACAAAGCACGTTACAATGTCAGCCACACTTCCAAAGCATCAACTGAGAGTTTAGTTAAGGAATAAGTGGGGATGAAGTCCCTAAAACACTTTCAAAGTATAAGACTAATTTCTCGGGGGTGAAACTTCGTTCAAGTTGATCCAGAGTACTGTCTTGGGGACTATTCTGTACTCCAGAAGTTAACTCCAGTTTGGGATAGTAATTTCATAAGGTTTTAATAGAAGAAAACTCATTCAAGAGAATTACTTTTTTATTCTACCATAGGAATCTTATTATGGAAAGAAATGTCCTGTAGATAGAATGAAGTATAATTAATAACAGTTGTAATCATTTTAAAATCTGTAAAAAATAAACTTTAAAAATGCCGTAGAGGTAAGGCATGTATTTTAAAGTATTTGCACAAAAGGGATTCTGACTAGGAAATAGTGTGCTCACAGGGACAAGGGTGTGAACCATGTTGAATTAACTACTAGCCACCCCAGACACTGCTGCTGCTCATGTATGTGCCCTTCTGCTATCCAAAGGTCTTGGGAGGGCACTCCCAACAGCTTTCAAGTGAAGTCCCCTTTACCCTAAAAGTCTCCTACCTGAATTATGGACATCCGAGTGGCAGGGGTCTCGCTCGAATTAGTCCCTTGTCCGGTGAAGCTGGTGTGGCAGCCTGCGTGCCCCTGCGGGACAGTCAGGTTGTTGGAGGCTGGCTTAAGATACATCACCTCTGACCGGGGCGAGCTGAGGGGCAGGCGGGTTTGGTAGTCGAAGTACATGGGGGAGGTGGCCAGGGAGGGACTGCTCACCACGTTCATGACGTTCATGGCGTTCCTCTCCTCCACCTCGCTCTGCACCAGCATGATATCGTTTTTGTTGATTTTCTTCTTCTTGCCCTTCCCCCCGCCTAGCTGTGGGTGACTGTACTCGGCGATGCGGCAGTTGTAAGTGCGAATCTCCTTGTTTTCCCGTTTGCACTTGACAGCTATGGTGATCATGGCCGCTAGGAGGATGATAGAAATCGTGCTTAGAGTCACTATGAGAGGCAGCGACATGTCCCAGTGGTGCTGCTCCCCATTGACTCGCGGTACCCCTTCAGGCAGAGAGCCGCTCACTGAACGAATGATGAGTTTGGCCACCGCGGACAGGGTGGGCTTGCCATGATCAGTCACCTTCACTACAAGCTCCACCACGGGGGTCACATCCTCCCAGAAGGGGTGCAGCGTGCGGATCTCGCCGCTGGATGGATCAATCTCAAACAGGTGGTCGTCATTGCCATCCACAATCTCATAAGTGAGGCGCCCGCTCTCTCCAAAGTCACTGTCCAGGGCGCGCACGGTGCTTACTAGGTAGCCCAGACCAGCATTTCGCGGGACCTGCAGCTCAGCTGTGTCGTTCTGTAGAGTGGGCAGCACAATCACTGGAGCGTTGTCATTCACGTCTAACACTGTCACCCTCACCGTGGCGTTGCTCTCCAAGTGTGCTGGCGCCCCGGAGTCCTTAGCCAGTACCTTGAATTCAAAAGCCTTCGTTTGTTCATAGTTAAAGGAGCGCAGGGCATATATGGCCCCATTAGTGGGGTTCACGGACACATAGGTGTAGATTGACACGTCGCCAATGTGCGAGGGAAGAATGGAGTAGGACACTGTCCCATTTTGGCCCAGGTCGGGATCTTGGGCGAGCACTGAACCGAGGTATTCTCCTGGAATGTTGTTCTCATGTACTTGGAGGACATACAACCCTTTGGTGAAACGAGGCGGGTTATCATTCTCATCTAGAATCTTGACAGCGAAAGACTTGGTGGAGTTGAGTGGAGGGGATCCCCCGTCCCGGGCCACGATAGTCACGTTATACTCGTCCTGTGTCTCGCGGTCCAGCTGACGGTCAGTAACCACAGTGTAGAAGTTGTCATAGTTCTCTTCAAGCTTGAAGGGGACCGAACCGGGACCTCCCAAGCTGCCTCCAACGCCAGTCCCTCCTCCGCCTAGTACCCTACACTGCAGCTGCCCATTCTTGCCTGAGTCTCGGTCAGTGACCCGAACCAGGGCGATGACTGTGCCAGGCGGGGCGGCCTCGCTCAGCGCCCCCTGCCGCACGGAGACGAAACCAATGGACGGCGCGTTGTCATTGCGGTCGATAAGCTTGACTGTGACCTTGCAGTGGGCTGGAATTGGGTTAGGACCTAGGTCTCTGGCCTGCACGTCGATCTCCAACATGCCATTCTCCTCATAGTCCAAGTTGCCCTTAACGCGGATAAGGCCGGTTTTGGGATCGATGGAGAAGAGCTCCCGCACGCGGTCGGGCACATAGCTGCTGAAGGAGTACAGCACTTCTCCGTTGGGACCTTCATCAGCGTCGGTGGCATTCAGATCAATGACCACGGTGCCCAGGGGTGCGTTCTCGGGCAGTTCCACCAAGTATGACGGAGCCTCGAAGACTGGACTGTTGTCATTAGAATCGATCACCTTCACATTGATCTGCACCGTGGCGGAGCGCGGAGGCTCTCCGCCATCCAGGGCAGTCAGCACCAGAGTGTGGTGGTTCTGCAGCTCGCGGTCCAAAGCTTTTTGAATGACCAGTTCAGGGAACTTGGTGCCGTCGCCGCGGGACTTGACGTCCAGTGCAAAGAGGCCGTGGTCATCGCGGGTGAGCAGATAGGTGCGGAGACCGTTCTCGCCAGCGTCTGGGTCGTGTGCGCTAGTAAGGGGGAAGCGGGTGCCTGGCGCCGCGTTCTCTGAGATGTCCATTTCGATCTGGTCCGAGGGGAAAGAGGGAGCATTGTCGTTGATGTCCTGTATCTCTACTTTGATCATGCAGATCTCCTTGTCATTAGCGAACACCTCTAGGGACAGCTGGCACTTGGCATTGTGGCGGCACAACGACTCACGGTCGATGCGCTGCTTGGTGTAGAGAAGCCCGCTGTCGGCGTCCACGTCCAGCAGGTGCGGTGCGGAGTTCTCCAGCACCCGGTAGCTGCCCGACTTGCCTCGCCCGCCGCCGCTACCGCGCTCAGCCGGCGGAAGCCCGGGTTGCAGTCGGGCATCCTTGCCTATGTTGCCTATCACCGTGCCGGCCCCTTGCTCTTCTGGCACTGAGTAGTTGAGGTTTTTGAGTGTCAGGGCAGGGGCCCACAGGAGAAAGCAGCAACAGATGGAAAGGTACATCCCAGACCGGTGGGGTGGGAGCAGGAGCAGCCGGACTGGAGGTGCGAGCTGGTGGGTGCGCGCCAGTCTGGAACCGGGGCGGAGCGTCGGAGCTCAGAGCGAGCCACAAGTCTGGGAGTCCTTCCTTCCCTCCGCACCCGGGCTGCGGCACCAGTCAGTCTCTCCTTATTCCGCTCAAGTTGCCCGAACCTGTTGATCTACAGCATTCGCACTGGGTGAGAAGCAGCCGCGCAGCGAGGCTGCAGCAGCTCAGAGCTAGGCGGCGGCTTCCTAAGGCTGAGGGCGAGCCCAAGGCTTTGTCTCTTCCGCCTGGACTTCAGAAGGCTCAAACTTGCGTGATGATGCTGGCGATAAGAAGGAAATAAGAGTCTGGAAGAGATGATAATGAGCTGAAGAATTGGTGGGTTTTCTTCGCTCCCGCTAGGCGCTGCAAAATCCACTCCCTCCGGCAGCCTACAGAATATATTCTTCGAATCGGGTTGGGGGAGGGCTTAGGGAGGTGTGTCTCCAGGCAAATCGGAAAGTGGAATCCTTAGTTACTCGTAATCGGTGAGGAAATTGATGGGAATGAGTAGGGACGAAGAGAGAGTCACAGATACATATGTATATTTGAGGCTTCCCCTGGAACGCAGAGAAATGTCTGCTCGTTGTGCAGGATGGTCGGCTTTCAGGCAGTGTATTGCTGCATTTAAAGATCTAATCTTGCATTGCTGGCTTAGGCAGCGGCGGCGGCAGCGGACTGCATCTCCGAGCCAAGTCTTTTTTTTTTTTCTTTTCTTTTTTTTTCTTTCTCTCTCTCCTTTCCGAGCAGTCAAAGGGAGAAGAGGAAATGCAGCGCAAAAAAACCCCTAGTGTCCCGATTTGTAGTTTCCTCCCCCTACCAAGCTCCTCCCTCTCTTCCTCGGAGAAGGCTCTCCCACAAAATCAAAAAAGCCACAGCCTGATCAGCATTTGCGGCGAGAGCCTATTGGGAGGAGAAAATATAGAGCTATATCTCCGCCTTGGTTCGTCGAACACTCTGGTGTATCTATGCCAAGCCCGGAGCTGCCACTACCATCCCATCCTCTTCCTGCAAGCAAGGACTTCACTCCACGCAGTTTAATTCCAGTTTGCTTCTCTTGCCAGGCGAAAGGAAATCAACAGGCAACTCATGGTTAGACGTGCAGATCTGAAGGGGGGAGGGCAGAATAGAAAGGAGGGGGAAGCAACCCTCCCAGTCCTAGCACACACACACTCGCCCTGTCTCTCGCTAGAAGGGAAACAGTCTCTGCATTCACAGGGCTGGGCTGTCAAGTGGCTCTTTTCTTTCTATTCAGCATCTCCTTCCAGTGGCCCAGCTTCCCAGTCCTTTTCATCTAGCAAGGAAAACCTTGGCGAGGAGCAAGAGTGGTGACTATTCGAAGAAAATAAAGTGCGGGTTTTTCAACCCCCTTTTTATTATTACTATTATTATGATTTTAAACGGGAGGCGTAGGGTGGAGAGAACACATCAAGGTTTGGCGTGATGCATTCTGCAGCCTGGATCTCACGGTCTCTGGTCGGCTTGGGGAGGGCAGAGGGTGAGGAGCTGCGGCCACCGGGGTTCTGCCAGGGCGCCCACCCGGGGGAAAGTACCTCCACCACCAAAGGGAGGTTAGGCACGGCTTGATCTACACATTATTTCTGCTTCTCCAGGAGCCTCGGTATAGGGGCAGGACACATCCAGAAATGCAGGTGTTCTGATCTGCCGGATGAGTCAGAAGCAGCGGAACGAATCGTATTCACTCTGCCCTCACGGGCCTCCCTTCACAGACATTAGTTGCGGCTTCTTCCTAACGCTTTCTCTGACTCACTCAATAGAAAGAAAAAAAAAAAAAGCTGGATTCATAGGGGGTGGGGGCAGAGAAAAGGAGAAAAAGAGAGCGGGGGAGGAAGGCAAAGCTGAACCCAGCAGCACTTTACTCTACCTCTTTCGGCCGGAGTCCGAGGCTCTGCAAAACAAGGCGTCTGCTTTGCTTACGAATATTTATTTGTTTGTTTGTTTTTTTTTTTTAAAAAAAAACCTTGGTTAGGCGTGAGATGCCCCCAAATCTCTCAGTCTTAGGGGGGAAAAGCACGTTTCCAGTAATGATTCACGGCTTAGCCCAAGATCACAGTTCAAGATTTTCCTCCCAGAGGTCTCTATTCACAAAGTCCAGCAATCGGTGTGCATAGCTAATTGTGCAGTCTGTTGTGGAGGTTTTTTTTTTTCTTTTTCTTTCTAAATCCTCCTTATTATTTTTTTTTTTTTCAGTCACGGGTGGTCTCTTTCAGTCTGGCGCCTCTCAGAATCACCCCAAAGCCTGAGAAAGACGTGCCGATTTCAAACCGAATAAATCCATCTCCGCCAGCCAAGGCGCGGAGGAAATGGAAGGTGAAAATTCAATTCAACAGTTGGAGTAGCGTCTCCGGGCTGCCCTCCGCCGCTGCGGCAGCCGCCGGGCTCGCAGTCCGGATTCTCTCCCCAGCGTCTCTTGCTGACTGACTCTATTCACCTCACGCCGCCGCTTAAACATTGATACTGATTCTCTGCCAGCCAATCCGCGCGGGGAGCCAGGCCCTGCCTCCTCGGCCCACGCCCAATGGGAGGTGGAGAAACGGCGGGCGGGGGCGGGGCCAGCAGTCCCAGCGCTTTAGAGTCATTGACTAGCAGCGTCGGACGCGAGAGCTCTGCGGCCAGCAGAGCCCGCGCCTTGTAAGTCTCTGAGCCCCCGCTCGCCCCGGGCCTTAGCTACAGGGCGCGGCAGCTTGGCTGTCTTTCTCTAGGAAGAAAAAAAAAAAAAAAAAAGTTGGACAGTGACTCGATTTTATTTGGGGATCGGCTACAGAGCCAGGCTTGAGAAACACCGCATACTTTGCCGAGTGAGATAGCTGCGGTCATCCTGCTGCATTTCTGTTCACACACGTTCGAACACACATCGTCAGCTTACACACACACACACACACACACACACACGCGCGCGCGCACACACACACACACACACATACACACACACACACACACACACACACACGCAGGCCAAAGGAGTTGCAGGTTTTCTGACTCCTCGTCAAGTCATCTGAAGGAGGTGCGGAGTGTGTGTGCGCGCGCGCGTGCGCTCGCGTGCCCGTGTGTGTGTGTGTGTGTGTGTGTGTGTGTGTGTGTGTGTGTGTACGCGTTTTCGCACAGTTCCATGTGTATTTCAGTGAGTGTCTGTGAGGTCCAGTGCTGGAGAGCCAACTGTGCCAGCTAGCTAGGGAGCAAACACGCCCCGAGCAACAGTAATCAAGATGTAACTTTGCCCATCCTCAGAGAAATCCCCGCGGTCCCCAGGCACCCATGCAAGGAAAGTCACTTGATTATGAAAGTGTTTCAGAAGAAAAGCAGACGCCGGTGGAGAGAGAGGCAGTGTCTCCTCGGAGGGAAAAAAAAGCGTCTCTCAAGACATGTTTTGCAGTTTCCTGAAACTGAAATCTGCTGAGCACTATTTAGGGTTCTACCCTTCAGCCATCTATCACAGCCCACATTGAATATACTCTAACGTCCCTCGACACTCAGCAGCTTTGTGGTCTGGTTCACCTCTGTTCATCTTACTAAACTTCCAGATAGCAATATGATAATTTTTCCAAATCAAATAGTCATTTATAAAATCTCTTAAGTATAGAAAAGAAACTGTTAGGCAAGAATTTACATCAGTAGGGGATCAATGATTCAAAGATGCCTGTTTTATAAACACACACACACACACACACACACACACACACACCCCTGGCTTTAAATTCCTCATCTTCTACAACCCAGTCTCAAAAGTTGCTTTTGCCTAAACTACTATCACAAACGTCCACGAGTCAAGACCGGTTTGCCTGTGATCTGACAGTCTGAAAACAAAAAGGAAACTGATGCATTGAAATAGAGAAGGTGAGTGTTTTGATTGCTGGAGTATTGATTGTAGTTCATAAATACTGAAGTTAAGTTGCCATTTATAAATTGTGAATGACTAACGTACAAATCTGTAACATGAATCATTCAGGATTTCAAAGAAAATCAAATCCAGACCAATTACAAGAAAGTTCTGGAGATTGTTTTGGGGATAATTGCTTAAAGATTCAGGCAGAGGAGCTATTAATTTCCCGGAGCTTCAAGGAGATAACCTATAGTCTGATTTTGCAGTCTGGTCTCTTTCCAAATTTACCACACCCTTGGGAGATCAACAGCTCAAAAAATTCAAAGAGAAGTTCTTTTTTAGTGAGCCCTTCAAATTCTAAGAAGCTCCTGTATTGTCTTTTCTAAATAGGTAGTTTATCATGTATACATTTTTACTAAACAGGGGCTCAGCCTTGCTAAAACCTAGGCTGCTTTGCTAAGTGGTCTTTTAACCACACAGCCTTGTACAGCCTGAGCTTTAGAAGTTGAAGCTTCAAATCGTTCAAAGCAGAAGCTGCCAGAGAGAGCGGTGATCACACATTCAGACATTCATCTAGCAATGCTTATTTTTTACTTCTGTCTCTCTTCAGCCCTCTCCAGCTTTAAGGATAAACACCAGGGCCTTGCAAAACTAAACAAAAGCTGTAACTCTTAGCTCTGTCCTCAGGAACACTGCAAAATACCTTTTCCAAAGGACCATTCTAAAGTTATTTTAATTACATAGAAATGAGCTATCTTTGGATTTTACCATAATGCAAAAACAAAACATCAGACAATTCCAAGGAAGGTTATGATAGTGTATTGATTAGGCTCAATTCAACATAAATCTATGCAGTTGAAGGAATACTAGAAACACAGTGTCTAAGAAAGAACGTTATGAGGTGAAAAATATTCCTCCTCAGAAGCTTGTGTTTGTTGCAACCCCCCTTAGGAGTAATTATGCCACACCGCCCCCTCGTGTTTGCTGAAAGAACTACATGCATATGGTGAAAGCCTTAGGGCCCCGGGGCCAAGAACAAAAGAAACATAGGAATCATATTATATTTCATGTGCCTCTAGAATTGAATATGGTTATAGAACACTGACTGGCATCCTAAGTAACTATTTTTATCTTTATTTTCTTAAATACTGCATTTTAAACCAGAAATAGGACTGACTGATATCTCAGTTTCATTTGTCTTGTTTTCAATCCTTTGTGATACCCACATTTAACTTAAACAATCTTTAACAGTTTTCAAAGTCTGTCTTTTTCCTCCCTTATGTATGTTTTGTGTTCACCATATATTTATATAATGATTCCTTATTAACTATTCTTAAAATACTGAGCTCAATTAGAAAAAAATGAGATGATTTAAGTATTAGGCAGTGTGTGTGTGTGTGGGGGGGCTATGCATGTTACACATGCCGCCATGCTAAGTTTGCAGAACTATGATGATGTCTAGATAGCAAAGCAAGCTCAGGTTTCATAGGAGCAGCTTGGATGATATTCACTGTTTGTATTTTCAAACCAGACTGAATCTGAAGCCAACGTTTTATCCTCTTCTCTTGAAATGCGTGTATGCTGATCATCTTAAAGATCTCGCATGCTTATTTAGAATCTATGCGAGAACACGCAAAGCACTTAACATTTTGTTAATTAATAAAACAATGTAGGTCAGATGAATGCAAAGGTAATTGAATGATGGGTCGTAATGACTTCAAATAGAAGTATTGCGTGTTAATTTTACAGGCCAGTAAAGAAGAGCAAAGACTGTAATGTCGCTCAAACAAATGACTTCACAGGATTGAAGGGAAGTCTTAAAATAGGACTTCATGGAGCTTTTGTACAATTTATTGAACTGGCTTAGAGATACGGTTTAAAAATGCATAATTATGTGTTAAAGATGCAGTTTCAAGAATTTATTCCTGTAGCCAGAACCACTAGTGTGGCAGTCGCCTGTAACTTTTCCTGCTTGGCTACAATTTTGAGTTTAATAGTACATAACTCTTAAGAAAAAAGTAGAAGCTTCTTCTTCCTCTGAAGCCATTATTTATATGAATAAAATATCTTTTTTTAAGAAATAATTTTGTCTCTATCATTTTACTTTCTGGTTTCATAGTTTTTTTAATGTATGAAATATTTCAAACTAAATTTAATGACAGAAGGGTTAGGTACTAGAAAACCAATCAAATTTCAATTCTCTGAACAATGAAGTACTGTATTTTAGATAATGCTCTTCATCTCTTAAAGGTACATATGGTTCCCTTCTTATACTCTTGCTGACTGTCGGCTGACTTTTAATCAAAGCGTTGTCTTTTAATGAATGATAAAATGTTCCTACTCAACATCCTTCTACTTTGTGATGAATACTAATTAGAACAAGTGATGTAAATTAACTGTGAATTTTATATTTTAGATGAAATGCTTTATATATTGAAAGAATTCTCTCATTTACAATAAATTCTAAAAGTGTTGAAAATTTATATAAAGATAGTAAGGCAAAAACTTTTAAGGCTTTGTATTTTATTAAAATTATGAAATGCTGCTATTAAGAAATATGGGTAAAGTAAAAATCCTATATTTAAAATTTCTTCTAAATAATATTTTTGATGGTGTGAAAGCATATTCAGATGTATGTACCTTCTTTACTGCAATATGATAACAATGAAGCTCTAGAGCTAAGCCCAAAAGGACTTACAAGGTGAACCTGTGAGGAATTAGTTCACAATTCAGCACATGAATAAAGCAAACTTACAACTTGCAATTTTTAATTTTACAAACTTACAATTTTTAAGTCAGCAAAAAATATAATCAATTATCAACCGAGAAACACTAACAGGTCTTAGGGCAAATATTTTGAATTATTCAGAGACTAATTCAAAATTTAAAGGTGAGAATTTTATTTATTGTTTATTTTAAAGAGTTATTTGATATAAAATGTCTCTTTTTCTTCATGAGTATTTATGTGTCTTCAAGGTGTGTGTGTATTTAAGTGTGTATGTACATATGTGTAAGTAGATAAACTAAGTCACACTTAAAATATATATTGATGTATATGAATATACTGATGTGGAACAATCCCAAATTGTTACTCCATATTAAATATATTAATGCATATAAAGATGAGGACTAGCTTAAATTCTGTATGCTAACATTTAACACTAACAGAACTTGTTGAAATGAAGGTAATGTTACTTTTATAAGTGACTGGTACATTTATATCCTTTTCTGTCTTGCCAGCCAAAAAGAACAGGATACATTAATTCCATAAGCTCAACACTCCTGCCCCACAAGAACTTACATACTAGCTCCCCCTTGTGGTCACTTTGAGAGACATTCGGGTATTTGGGAAATTTGCTGCATAGGAAAATTAGATTTGTTTAATGTTGTTGCATTACGTTTTAAAATGCAGAGCTTTTGAGTGAAATAGTAAATTTATAGATGTGACTGCTAGATCATTAAATTGGTTGACACTGAAAAAAAGAGATACTTTTATGATTTCACGCACTGTGCCGCAATCTCATTATTTTTCAGAGTTAAACATGCTAGGGCAGGGTTGAAGGAGGTTGGGAAATCAGCCCTTGGAGGGGACCTGGGAAATTCGGTTCAGTAGGTGGCACTCTTTCCTCAGAGTCAGTTTTACAGTGCTGACCTGAAAAGATGTTTTAAAATGCTGTGTCACAGGGCCTGCCTTTCAGGTGAGGCCGGCACCAGCTGCTTCTGATCAGCAATGGTGCTAGCGGCTCGCACGTTTTCTCCATTACCCTGAGATATTTAACCTGCTTGTTATATAGCTATCATACAGAGATCAATGCGAGAAGTAGCTGAGCTCTTAGGAAAACAAAGACATGTTCAACAAATCCTCTGCATTTTAATTACCTTTATAATCGTTAACCTTCTCAAGTTCCTGCGACAAGGTCCTACTTGGGTAATTGCGGCCTCTTTATGTAAATTCCCCTTTTAGTGAACTACGCATACTATTTCATTTCATCTTTAAAAAGACTAGAAATATTTCAGTTGCAACCCGAGAGCTGTCAGACAGTTATTGTCTGTAACTCTGGACACAGGACACGTTTGCTTACATAAAGCACCTCTACTTAGCCTTCTTCTTGTTCAAAAACAAGTCCATAGCCAGAAAATACTTCCTGCGTTTTCCTGAGTGATAGTTTTGAAATTACATTAAATAAATCAATGCAATGAAACTTCATTAAAAATCACTGAGGTTGAATTGATTTTTTTTTTTTTTGGAGCTTCTGAACTCAGAAACTTCAAGATGGTCCATACCCTTTTGAATGATCATATTCAGGGAAAAAGGCCACGAATCATTTACAAATTACCCATCCTGGTAGAAATGGAATAACCTCCAATTTTAATTAAACACTGAAGGGAGTACCTCCAACTTTGATTAAAATATGAGTGAAATATCTTTATTTGTCATACAAAATGGTGTTTAGAAGTTTGATATGTCATGGTTGTAAATACAAAAGTGACTGGAAAGATTAATATGTTTGAGTATAAACATATTGATGAAAAACTATATTGGCAATTCTTCTCAAAAGAATAGAGATTAAATTTAGAAATATATTGACTACAGTTAGATGAGCCTGAGAAATCTACTTTCCCTTTCCTGATGGTACAGGAATGGAGAAGGCCATAAAGGGAAAAATATAATAAAAATAACATTTATTGCACAGTTGTGACATTGGTACAAATGTGAATTAATGATCTTTTGAAAGCTTATCAATAAGAGCAGTGGTAATCAAACAATGTTGTGACAAAGACCCATTAAGGAATCCAAAGACTGCTACAGAACCCCTTCCTAATAAATATGGTGGAAATCTCTAATTTAGATTGTACAAATATCTATACAAACACTGGAAGAATCACATATACTTGATGGGCATAAGCATTATATGCAAACATCACTATAGTTTTAGAAAATTATCGAAGGCTGTCTTTAAATCAGGCATGTTGACTTATACCTATCATTCCGTCACTCAAGTGGCTGAGGCAGGAAGATTGCTATGACTTTTACAACATGACCAGTGTTACCTACACATTTTTATTTGAGACCCACTCTCAAATAAATAGATAAGTAAGCACATAAATATATAGCATTTTTGCTCTACTAATATCAAGGTCTTAAGAGAGGAAAATTTGTATAATGCATGGCACTAGATGAAGCATACATCAAAGAATTAAAAATCTGGTTTTTATTTTCTTATACTTTGACCGGGAAGCTCCTCAGTAGTAGAAAATATATAATAGATTAGAAGTTATGTGGCCCAGTGAGGGACAAAAGTGCTTACCTAGCCTACAGTTTTTCACTTTAGGACTCCGGGATGCTGGCTATAGCATATTGTCTGTTGAGAGACAGAGATCTTTCTTCCTCACATGGGTGGAAGAACGACTGTATAATTCTATATAGCTAGTGATGAAGGGATCTGCCAGATAAAGTCAACAGACAAGAGTATGATAAATTGTGAAGATGTAGAAGTTTATTTCATGTTTCATCATTTGAACAAATGTAGATCAGCGCTGTCCTAAAATTTGTAACTAGATTCTTGTGTCATGGGTTTGTTCAAGAATCAACAGGGTGCATGAAAATTCAATGTATACATTTTGCTGGATTTTTTTTACATATGCAAACACATTTAAAGCATTTTTCACAGTGAACCTAATCATTAAAATTGTTTGCCAGATTGTTCAGCAAACAAAATAAATACCTTGGGGTATCCAGCCTCAGTTGTAGTCACTAAGAGCACCACCTGTACATTCCTTTTAAAGGACCCTGCCCAACTCACATCTCTCTTTTCTCGCTGTCTTTGCCTATCTATCTATCTATCTATCTATCTATCTATCTATCTATCTATCTATCTATCCTTCTCCTCACTTCTTTTCTGCCACTTCTGTCCCCAGAGGTCTGACTTCTTTCTTCCCTCTCCCCTTTCACACTCACTTTCACCTAATAAAAAACCCTTCCACCTGAACTCTGTCGCATGACATCTTTTCCTCTTGTGTTGCTTTTTCTAAATTACAAGTACCACACTGGAGAAAGTATGTCACTGGGAGTGGTGTTTGAACTTCCAGTTAACTTTCTCATCTTTGTGCTTTTGGATAAAGATAGGATTTCTCATCTCTGGATACAATTCTTATCTTTTGCTGCCATGCTTTCTTTGATAATTCGTTCTTCTGAAATTATAAGCCAAAAATATACTCACCTACTGGTTGTTTTTTGTCATGGTATTGACTTCAGAAAAAAGAAAAGTCATTCATATAGAAGTTGGTACCAGAGAGTGAATGTTAATTGTTTTGAGGTATGAGGAAGGGTTTTTGGAATTTTGGGCTGGAAAAGTGGTTGATTGAAAAGCAGGGATCACTGTGGCATTCTCATGTCATCTGGATGAGAGTGATGCTCTGAACAAGGTAGACTATGAAGGCCCAGCTCAAAAGTGCTGTGGGATAATAGTCTGTATTCTGTCAATTATATTTTAAATAAATGCTGATTGGCCAGTAGTCAGGCATGAAGTATTGGCGGGACAACCAGACAGGAAGAAGAGGCGAGTCAATGAGAGCAGGAGAATTCTGGAAAAAAGGAAATCCTTTTTGCAGTACTCACCCAGCCACAGAAGAAGTAAGCTGTGACTGCCTCGCTGAATAAGGAACCGAGCCACGTGGCTAGCACAGACAAGAATAATATAAGTTATAAGAGTTAATAAGAAGCCTGAGTTAATGGGCCAATCAGTTTATAACTAATGTAGACCTCTGTGTGATTTCTTTGGAGCTTAACGATTGTGAGAACTGGACAGGACAGAAACCCCGACAAAAGGTTTCATTAGTAATTGTAATAGAGACCACTTGTGCGTTATTTATGCAAATAAACTGGTTGCTTTTTCCTTCCTAAAAACTTACCTAAGACTAATTGAAAATTAGTGAATGGTATCATCTCCCATTTTATGGAAGCCAATTCAAGACAACATAACACTAAATCTAGGTAAATTATTACTGATAATGTTTATGCAGGTCTATCATGTAAAGGAAATGGAACAAAAAAATAGAAGTGTATAGTATTGAGAGACCAACAACACTAGAAACCACAATGTTGAATCCATGGCTTATGCTGAAAAGAGACGATGTAATTGTTCAGGGGATTAGTACAATGAAGTAAGAACCTTCTACTTTGTACTGGAACACAGGGGAAAAACCTCACTCCCACACCAATTTCTCTGATAAGTCACTCTGATAAGACCAAAACAAGCTTGAAGAAAAGGGGGTTTGTTTATCAGAGACTTTTATGTCAAAGTCCATCAACAAAGAAAGCCAGAGCAGGGTATTAAAGAACTCTGCTTACTGCGTTACTCCAAGTGGCTTGCTCAGCTTGCTTTTTTATTCTGTACAGATCACATGCCCAGGGCTGGTATCACTCACAGTGTGCTGGACCATCCTACATCAACCATTAATCAAGAAAATCCACTCTCACAGACCTGCTCGTGGCTAATCTGATAGTGGCAGTTCTTCAGTTGATGTTCCCTCTTATCAGGTATTTCTAGTTTGTGTGACGTTTACATAATCTAACCACTGCAAGTGTTATTTTCAAAATGATTCTAGAGATAGAGAATAAGTGGAAGGCGCAACTAGCATTTATGAAAGAACAATAATATAAAATTTAAAACACCAGACCTACAAATTTTAAAACCACAATAGGTGCAGAACATTATCAGAAAGATGTTGCCAAAAAAAAAAGCCAGTGTCAGGAACTGGATACCATTGTGTGGGTATGAGGGTTTCTGGGCAAGAAAAAGCCCCAAGGTTCTTAGCCAGCCACGACTCTTATAAAGTAAAATTCCAACTTTCCAGGAATGATTTGGTGACTCATTAAATAGTGGCACAGATATTATAGGGTGACCCCAAACACTCAGATTATGTTTGAAACCAGCCTCACAGACAGAATTCATGCTTCATACTGTAAACCTATTAAAAATTATTCATTGTGGGGGAGGTTATAGGAACTAGGAGGGACCATAATGCTCTAATACTGCTAACTTGATATAGTTTTCAAAGGAACATGAGGAGTCATTGCCTTTAGGTGTGTACCCGTTGGTGCTTCTGTTAGTCTCAAATCGTTAATCCCAATCCTGCAGTGGAAAGGGTAGCCCGATTACACTGAATAGTTTACAACTAACCTCATAGTTCAAAGTCAACCAAGACTTTATGAATCTGAGGGTGGGAATGGCTAGGAAAAGGATGGAGACATAATAGACACCTTAACATAAGCAGCTATAAGAGTGATCAGAAAGCATTGTAGTATTTATGTGCTTTCTTCAATTCAAAAGAACAGGAAGATGAGAAGGAAAAAAGACAAAGACAATTGTGTGCATTTTATCACCAAAGTATAGGAGTACATAAAGGAAATTATAAAGGCAGAAAACAATAGAGTAGGAAAAATGTATAACTATGAAAAACTGAACATGAAAATTTGATGAGAGATTAAAATATGTCCAGGCATGTAAACGACAATAATTTATTGGGTACCAGATAAAATATAAAAACTAACATAGATACATTCCTTTAATGATGGAATTTAAGAATTCTGAAGGAAGTATCAGTTTTCATTCTGAATGGTGCTACACAGTCGACTGGAGTTGTCAACAATACAAACTGACCAATCAACACAGGAAAAGTCTGTTATATTTAGGCCAGGGGAGCTTTGTAGGCAGCACTGATATTTGATGAGAAGAGCAAGACTTGAAACATCAATCCCTTGTTGCTTGAATTGTGCATGCAGTCTTAGGGTAAGCCATGGAAGAACCCAAAGTCCTTTAATATCCCAGGAACTCTATTACTTAAAATCAATTTTATTTTTGTGGATTACATACATTTTCTTCATAATTTCACTGTACAAAACTCATTTCAACAGTCCTTGTCTTCCCAGAATCATAGAATGATGCAGTCTTTTTGAGAACTTTGATTGTGTGCTTCTATGTTTATGCCTTTTCCTATTCAAGCATGAGAAAGATGACAATTTCTATAGTTCTAACTGATGTACCTGTATTGTATGGCTGATGGTGACAGTTTCTGAACAATTCGTCTTAGTAAATTATACTAACACCCTTATCTCCTACAAAAGAGAATCCTGTTCTAAATCCCTCATCCTAACAGTGAGAAATATTTAACATAAAACTTTAAACTCTTAAAATTCAAGACGTAGAATTATCTGTAATAGGAAAAGAAAAACTACCATGAGTGACCCTAAGAGCAGTGATTAAGAAAAGAAGATCATTAATTTCTTTTTTGACTTAGCAGATGAGGCTTAAACTTACAGGGCGGGATTGATATGAGCCATGGTTGCTGCTTAAATTCACATATTGGTGGTCATAAAGTGAGGAGAGTTTTTCAATCGCCTTCTGGGGATCTGTGGTGGCCTGGATGCTTAAACCGGCAAAATCTGTTCTCTCACAAGACAGAAATTGATATTCTTCTGCTCTGAATGTCACTGACCTTAGGTACAAGAAATTTTTTTGTGCTTCTAGAGGTTCCCATTAAGACTTTCAATCCATTTTAATAATGATATTTCAATATTTTATCTTAGTTATATTTGAAACATTCATTTTTTTCTTCACACAATGTAGCTTATGAGAATATCCCAAAGATTGGGATTTGGAGACCCTATGGGGATATACAATCTAGGGTCTATACAGTCTAGTTGCAAAATAATTGCATAAGAAATTTATATAATAGTCACATAATAATATTTCACCTATGTAGCAATAAACTTAATAAGAAAATTAAATTTGTATAAAATAACAGATGTTAAAGATGTTAAAATATTCTTTTTTTTCCTGTTCATCATTTTATTGGAAGTGCTTTCTATTTAATTTTGTTTAGGTGGGTGCTATCTTTTTTTTTTTTTTAAAGAATTTTGAATAATCTTTATTCAGCCTCTTTTTTCTAAAGTTGTGACAGAGAGACCACAACTGCCCTGAATGGATGTTAATTTCCAAATTTACTTTAGAAAATGGACCATATCAGTTTTTTTTTTTTACGTTTAAACTAAGAGGACCCTATAAAAGTGTGCAGTTGTTATAATTGTTTCAAGATTCTATTTTTGAATATTAGCATTTTGGTAAAACTTAGCTTTCACTTCAAAATCCAAACTAATGCTTCTTCTATAGGCATATTGTGCATCTCAGACCACAAAATACTCAGCACATCCCAGCAGACAAGAGCTCCAGTCCCTGGTTCATCTCTGTCTTCAGTCCTTCCCATAGACAACTGAGTTCAATGATTTTCACAGTTTGTGATTTTGTTGGTGCTTCTGTTGCTCCCAGAATTACTCCTCTGTATTCTGTTGTTGGTGACATGAAGAGTGGGTGTCTCATCTGGGAGATAGTGAAGAGTCTTCAGAGAAGCCATGTTGGCTGTGGGCTTAACGTTAATGCATCATAGACTTGGGGTTGGGTGTTATCTTCTGCTTGCTTTAAATCACCTTTATTTTGTTGAAGTATGTCCCTTTTTATTCATTTTCCCCCTAGGAGTTTTATTTTTATTTATTTATTTATTTTATTTTTTATTAAAAATATCTGCCTCCTCCCCCATTTTCCTCCCCCTCCCCCGCTCCCGTCTCCTTCCCTCTCCAGCCCAAAGAGCAGTGAGGGTTCCCTGAACTGTGGGAAGTCCAAGGTCCTCCCCCCTCCATCCAGGTCTAGAAAGGTGAGCATCCAAACAGCCTAGGCTCCCACAAAGCCAGTACATGCAGTAGGATCAAAACCCAGTGCCATTATTCTTGGCTTCTCAGCAGCCCTCGTCCGCCATGTTTAGAGAGTCTGATTTTATCCCATGCTTTTTTAGACCCAGTCCAGCTGGCCTTGGTGGGTTCCCAATAGATCAGCCCCATTGTCTCAGTGTTGTGGGTGCATCCCTCTTGGTCCTGAGTTCCTTGCTCATGCTCTGTCTCCTTCTGCTCCTTTATTTCTGTTAAACTGCTACTTTCTATAGACAATCTTTGTTTTTATTGTTGATTGAGATTTTTCTTTTTATTATAGACAATTATATTTTTCACTGATTTCTTTTTAATCTTGAAATTATAGAGTTCTACAAGTAGCTGATTGCTTTTTTACTGCTTTCTCTTATTTCCCACAATTAGATGAAGAATAAATAAACAATGACCTCAAGAAGAATAATGGCTTTCGTGGTACAGTCTCCTGAATAATAATATTTCTTTAAACAGTCTTAAGAAAGGAAGTAATGAGAAATAAATGCATTTACTAATTCATGGGCCAATACAAAAAATACATATGAATTAGTATGTTGTAGTTTTACATACCCAAGAAGTTATGTGTTAATTTTCACATTTTTTTCTGTAGAAACAACAAATTGTTATGTTTATTTTATATGTCAAGTTAAATACCTCATGATTTACCTGTGGATATCAACAAGTTTAAAACTATAGTTCCTGTTAAATAGTGGTAATCCATAAAATTCATTGGCAAAAGTGTCCTCACATATGTCAAATTGAAAATTATCTGGCATGTATTCAACTGGATTTAGTATATTTTCAACAAAAATGATCTTGTGTGGACATACAATGCACATCTCTGGATGAGTTAATAAATACATCCAACAATAATCTGTAAATAAAATTATGCTATATAATAAAGTACCTGGGATTCACTGGCACTATTTTAGAAATCTTTTAATCTTTCTGGGAGTATAATAAAATTACATCATTTCCCCCTTCACTTTCATGCCTCTAAAACCTCCAATATACCTTTCCTTGTTCTCCATTGAATTCATGACCTCTATATCATTAATTCTTGTTACATATATGTATGTATGTTGGTTTTATCATTTATTGAAAATAAAACTTGAGGATAAATATTAAGGGAAAACGTTGAAAAATCCCACAGAGCAAGTAAGACATAATCCTCCCTTTCTATATCCTGAACCCAAGAGAACATGCAACCCTTTGGCCCCACATCTTCCTTCCCTGTGTGCCTCTCTTTCTCCTCTTAGTTGGTCAGAGAACACAATGGCCTATTGCAGTCAACTGAGTGTAAACTTTTCCCTTTGATCCCAGGTAATCTCCGCCAATATTTCCCCATTTTGTCTAAATAACAAGGAAGAGTTTTAACTATAATGTAGTAAAAGTATATTTAATAAGAACAATTATCAGGTGTTGTCTAAACAGAAAGGAAAGGTATTGACGTTAGCAAAATGAAGCTATGTACAAAAAGAATAATTATCAAGTTAGAATTACATTTTTAATTTGCAGTCCATTAATATTTGGCAAATTCAGAGAAAATACTCCATTAACTATCCTTTCTTATTGAGTCTAGAGTTTTGTACTTAAATTACTTTCTATCATGAAACAGAAAAACTCTATAACTATCTAGTCCTTAACCACATGAAAGGGATATAATATTACCTGAGTGAACAGAAAGTGCAGAACAAGCAATCCAAATGACAAAAACATCTGAATGCCTCAACAGTTACCCAAGTTTCCTCTTTGGAAACATCCATCTTTGGCCTACAGGCCTAGAATCTGACAGACTTTTCAGTAAAGTAGGAAATTTTTAAAAGGACTGTCCTATTCTGTCTTGGCAAAGTTCAGGAGTCACATATTTGTGTCCTGCTGGTTCTGTTTGGATAGCACACTGTCAGAACTCAAAGCAAGGGCTGTTTTTTGTTTAAATGGCTAGTTTTTGCTACTAGGAAAGTAAACTGCAATTAAAAGTTCTTCAATGCCCATGAGTCTTTTTTTTTGTAGTTAATTGTGCTATCAAGAGCACACATATTACTATCAAAAAACTCATGTTAATAAAGCATTTTGAAATGTCATATTCTGTAGGTCTTTGAAGTGTTTGAAGATCATCTACCTATATATCTAAAATATATCTCTGTATGACTTTGCAAACATATATGTTTGATATTTATATGGCTATTAACCAGTGTTTTTTTTTCTATCCTAAATATCTTTCAAATAGTAAAACTTTACATTACATTTTTAAAATGTGCTGCATAGTTCAATACCTTAAATAAGACTAGAAATATATATAAAGTACAACAAAAATAACCTACATTTATATCAATATACAAAAATATCTTAAAGAGTAGACACATATACATAATAACAAAATAATTTTAACTTTGAAGTAATATATAAAAATCTGTATCAATTTGAAATATTAGAGATTAATAATAGTCATTTTTAATTTAAAATAGAATCAGTGATCTGTCCTTTTTAATCTTTGAATTTTTGTATCCCTCTTTTTCTTTTCAGAATGAAATCACTAAATCTTATTCTCTTTGCTTAGTATCCTCCTTGATCATGACTAAAAATGACTTGTAACCAAATTCCCTAAATGATTACAAATATCCATCAAATGACCAAAAAACACCTACCAGTCTCTTGGGAATATGGTATTATGTTTTTAAGATTACTTACTGTTGTCTGTTGGCAATGGCATCTTTAGAGGATCCTGAAAAATTGAGATAAAGATCAAATTCTGGGAGAACTAGTTGTTGTCAAGTCTCAGTATCATAGGAGGGTACAAGATTTACCTAAAATTCCAATTGGAGTAGTCTAAGAGGCTGGGCCACCTTAGCTAACTACTTGAAGTTGTCTTGAGCAGTTTTTAGCTCAAGGTTGATCTTTTGTCAAGGTTGGTGTTTGTCAGCTTTGTGCCCTTAACACAATCCGGGTGTATTAATCATTGTGGGTGGGTCTTCAACACCTGTTAAAAGCTGTTGTTATGAATGATAAAGGTTCACTGTGGAAAACTTGTACAATTTAAAGGTCAAATGTATCAGATATCAGAAATGTTAAAGGACCACAATCTATTAAATAACACATTTTTTTATTGTGGTACACAAACTTATTTTTTAGTTATCTGATTCAGACTTATACCCAAAATTACATATATAAAGATAGATGAACCTATTTCTAAAATTCAATTTCTGTGTGGTTATTTGGGGCTAAGCTAGCCAGGCGGCTGGGATGAACAAGCAGTTCACTGCAAATCTTAATTCCCCATTTAAAAATTCCCAAGGATCTTACCACATCTTATAATGCTGACAGCATAGGCAGAGATGCTTGGGGGTTGGATAGCTGTGCTGGTCACATTGTGTGGGGGACACTAAGTGTCCCGAGCTATGCTAATTTTACATTCAGGCTAGAAACCTATTAATATGGCTGCTCATGTACCATGTGGGAAAGAGTGTGAACTGTCTGAAAATTTAATGTAAGGAAACTAGTAGGAGAAATTCACACTGCCAGAATTCAGCATAGGATAGGACTGTTTGGCCTACCATTAACTGCAGAGGGTGGGACCCAGTGTGGTTGAGACAGCCTTGTGTCTGGGGCTCAGTATGAGGTGTACACTGCTGTACAACAAGGTTGATACCAAACCCATAGGCCAGCTGGTATGGAGGGGTGGCACAGCTGTGGCTATTTTTCTGCCTGAGGTGTGATTTAAAGCCCCAGGCTGGATGTCAGATTTTTTTTTTTTTTTTATCATTTACTGAACAATAAAACTTAGGGGATAAATATTAAGGAATAAACCTACAAAATCAACAGAACAACAAAGACAAGCCCCGCCCCCCTCTTCCTAACAACCATAGGTTGGGTTGAGGGTAAGATGCTTTTTAAATTCCTGACTTCAATAGCCCTGGGTAGTAGTCTAGGTTTCCAGCACCAGGAATGGTTTTTTTTTTTTTTTTTTCCTGTTGAGCAGGTCTTAAGTCCAATTAGAAAGCTGTTGGTTGCTACCAAGATATGCATACCATTGTTGCACCCTTAGGGTTATTGTGTCATAATGGTCATTGTTTTGGTTCATAGGAATCACAGCTACATAGAACTGTTGGTTGTTTTGGAAGCTTGCATTGTACCTTCTGGTACTATAAAAACTACTCTTCGAGGAAGAAATATTTGAGTCAGTTCCAACTGAGGGGCCTAAATACCCTATGTCTAAAGCACATGGTGTCCTCAGCAATAGGTATTTACCTTCCACCTCCCATGTACAAGCAAGAGCAGTACCATTAGCATATAATATTTTGAGAATCTCTCAAACAAATGAAAACAACACAAAAGAGAACTTCTTATAATTGGTGATGGAATATTTATTAAATGGTCTTTGGTCTTTGAGGAATCATTGTCAACCCAAAGATCACTGGCATTTTTATATGACCTATAGTTTTCTAATGGCCTTGGGACAGCATATAGGCGAGCTGTTCAGAGTAATAATGATTCTATTGATTTTGTTTAGCTTTAAACAAGTTAGCCAATACCACAAAAACTATTTTCTCAAAAATGCTAACAAAATATCCAATTTCCTCTTCCACTTTTGTGGGGATCAGATAATAAGGAATTTTTCACAAATTCTAAACAATTTTTATCCATTTGTAGGTAAATATTTACAAATATAGGTACTGTAAGCATATAAGAAATTTAAAGATATCCTCATAGCAGATACAGGATAAAAGATAAAGTAATTTATATATTAAGTATTTATTTGTTTATTTTCAGCACTGAGCACTGAATCCAGGCTCCAAAAAAAGATCAGGTGAGCTCTCCACTACTGAGATTTCTTTCTGATCAATTTGCTTGCACTGGCTATTCTCTTGGTTATTACATCTACAAGTGAGTGTTTTAAAATTAAAAAAAAAATTAGAAATTTGGCATCCATTAAATGAAATATTAGGATTTTCTTTGAAGAAAATATATACCATATAGCACTAATATTCTTCTGGCAATTGCATGATTGTAGTAATAAGGGCAGCGGGGCTGCGTCCCCAGCACCCCAGCCGCCCGCACGGCTAGCTTATGCCCGAAATAACAACACGCAAACTGTATTCATTTAAACACTGCTTGGCCCATTCTCTTCTAGGCTAATTCTCACATATTAATTTAGCCCATTTCTAATCATCTGTGTATGGCACCCCAAGGTGCGCTTACCAGGAAGATTCTAGCCTAGTCCATCCTGGGTCGGAGCTTCATCCCTGGAGTGGGGCATGGCGTCTCTCTCAGGCGTCTGCTCCCGAGAGGAGAGCTGTTGAGACTGACCTCACTTCCTCTTCCTCCCAGCGTTCTGTTCTGTTTTCTCCTCCCACCTATCTTCTAACCAATAAAATGGGCCAAGGCAGTTCCTTTATTAGCCAATGACCTTCCTCCATCATTTCCCCTTTTTCGGTTTAAAAAAAAAAAGGCTTTATCTTTAACATAGCAAAATTACATATAATGAAACAGTTATCAAGTAAAAGTTACAATAATCTTTATCATAACTAAGGAAAACTATAACTATAACTAACTATTCTTAACTCCATCAAAGACTCCAGAAAGATACTATACTACCTAAGCAAACAAGAAAAAAAACAACTATCAAACTCTAGAAATGACAGAGACATCTTGCTGCCTGGACAGTCACCCAAAGTTCCTCTGTACCGTTGGGGCATCCATCTTCAGCCTTCAGGCCCATGGTATCCAGCAGACATTTCCATAAAGCAGGAAAATTCAAAGTCAGTTCAGTCACTATCTGTTGTGTCCTGCAGAATGTCTTGCAGACTCTTTCATGAATCAGGAACCCCAAAAGATCATCTCACCTTAGGCAAGTTCAGTAGTCCTCTCTCTGTGGGTTCTTTGTGTCCAGTTTATGCAATAGTCCAGGCAAGAGCAGTTTCTTGCCCAAATGGCTATCAAACTCCATAAGGATCCTCTTCGATGCCCATCTTCCTCTTGAAGTAGATTGGTGCTGCCAGGAGCAGAGTGTCTCATTGTCATGAAAAGTCCTAAGTTATTAAAACATTAAATGTCCTATTCTGTAATCATTGAAAGACATGAAGAATGTCTATCTAAAATATATCTCTATATATCTAGAAAATCTAACTAACATGACTACAAGCTTTACTATTATCGATGATTATCCATTAACAACCTATATTTCTTAATTATACAGTACATATTTAAGTGAACTACACAATCACAATACCTTAATCAAAATCAGAAACACTTATACATATAACAAAATTGACCTTAAATCTCTATCAATAAAGCAAAATCTATACTAATGCAAATTATTCATACCTATATCATATCCCCCTTTAAATGTAAAAGAACGTTTATAAACCATATTTGGGAACATGGGCACAATTTTTTCTCTCCAAACTGCTTCCTGCTGAATGGGGGCGTCGTTAATTAGGTCTTTCATGGTATAACCTGTGTGCTAGTTTCATCTCAGTTGGCAGTTGAGCAAAGCAATTTTTTGAAGGCGTGCACAGGAACCATTCAGGAGGACGTGGTCCATCATACCAAATCGGAATAGAAGAAATGAACAGGGTCTCATCCTCTGTGAAAACAAAATAAGAAACTCCTTTCCAAAGTATCATATTCTTAGATCCAAATTCAAAATATCTATGTTGGATTAGTTCAGCAGCATTTATAAATAAATATCTTTTAGCAGCTGTTGCTCCTTCCTCATCATTCAAATAATTCAAAGAGAGCATAATAGCATACAGTATCAAAATTCTCTGTGTATTTTCCATCTTTGTTCATTTTATTTTAACCTCTATTTTGTTTATTTTTACTTTTAACTTTTTGCTTTTTGAGACAGGTTCTCTGTATCTTTGACCTGAAGTAACTCTGTAGACCAGGCTGTCCTTGAACTCTCAGAGATCTGCCTGTCTCTGCCTCCCAGGCATTGGGATTAAAGGCGGAAGCTACTACACCTTGAACTCACAGAGATCTGTTTGCCTCTGCCTTCTAGGCACTGGGATTAAAGGCGTGTGCTACCACACACAACAACTCTCTTCCTTTTTTTGTTTTTTACTTTAAGAACTTCAACTTTTAGTCTGCATATATTTTTAACACACTTTAAATCATTCAGAAATTTTCTCTGTCTTTGAATCTCTCTTTACTGTATATCTCTCTTTTTCTGACCACATGAATCTTTAATTTACCAAGCAATCTCAGTAGGACTAAAGGCGTGACTTTGCCAGCTATTTCCAGTCCATTCCTTAGCTTTCCAGCCTCATGGCGGATATACAGGCTGTAGCCATGTTTACTGCAACAACTCTATGGCATTTCAAGGTCCCTGCCAGCATGCGAGCTTCAGCAGCCTGTGCTTGCAAATGGCACGGACCACCTGTGTAAAAGAGTCAGAGTTTGCGCTGGCAGGACAGCCCAGAAAGCCGGCATTTTTAAACGGTGCAGCTTTTTTCCTGCTACGGCTGAAAACCGAAAAGCATGCGTTCAGGTTTTCGTCAACACCGTTTAAGTGTTTTGTGGCAGGACCTCTTAATGAGCTGCAGGGTTTTGCAGCTGAAGCTGAGTCAGGAAGCCTCTCTTAGATGAAAGTGCTTGCTTGCCTCTAATAAGCAGAGTAGATCCAAGAAATTGTCACTATCAAGAAAACATGCTTTACTCTTTCCCAAGCTTTTTCAGGCTTTCTGTGGATTCAGTTGTCCACGTGGGCGCCAATCTGTAGTAATAAGGGCGGTGGGGCTGCGTCCCCAGCACCCCAGCCACCCACACGGCTAGCTTATGCCCGAAATAACAACACACAAACTGTATTCATTTAAACACTGCTTGGCCCATTCACTTCTAGGCTAATTCTCACATTAATTTAGCCCATTTTTAATCATCTGTGTATGGCACCCCAAGGTGCGCTTACCAGGAAGATTCTAGCCTAGTCCATCCTGGGTCGGAGCTTCATCCCGGGAGCAGGGCATGGCATCTCTCTCAGGTGTCTGCTCCCGAGAGGAGAGCTGTCGAGACTGACCTCACTTCCTCTTCCTCCCAGCGTTCTGTTCTGTTTTCTCCTCCCACCTATCTTCCAACCAATAAAATGGGCCAAGGCAGTTCCTTTATTAGCCAAAGACCTTCCTCCATCACATGATATTTTGGTGGGAGGAACTAACATGTCTTTTCGTATTGTGCAGGGAATTTCTTGTGGTACTTTTGTTGAATGTTTCCTGGATGATTTTAAGAGTAAATTTACACACTATTTTGAGAGATATTTGATACATATACAGCTAATATTTATGGTTAGCTGACTATATAATAGGCATATGATCAAAATGTATCACTTAAACTAGCTAACAGTTATCACTTAAACTAGTTAAACTTATTCCAAAACACTAGTGAATATTGGTTTTCCTCTGAAGTTTTTAGAGAGAATTTGTTAAAAGAAGGCTTATTTAATAAAAATTATTAAAGTTATACTACTGTTTGGATGTTGCTATGATGTTATAAATCACAATATTGTTTTATAGGTCAATTTTTTATTTTTAGGGTACAGAATAAAATTAATAATTTATATTAGTCTCATAATTTGCATGTCTTGATATAAATTATTAATAACATATGGAAAAGTGTGTTTCATTCATAGATTCTTCTTTCTTTTCAACAGTGTTTCAATATATAGGCTTTTCTGGAATTCCATGTGTAAATCAGATTGCCCTTGAACTCAAAAAATATTTGCCTGATTTTCACTTCTGATTGCTGAGACTGTAGGTATATACCACATCTGGTTCTAGTTATTGCCTTTTAATAACAATAGTTACCAAACAAAATATATTATATCATCATATTGCTATAGAATTCATTTTTCACATAGTGAGACACTGATCATGTCATTAATATGAAGACACTGTTCTTTAGAATGAATATGCAAGAGGAAAATATGTCAAAAGATATATTGTCACCTATGTAACTCACTCCTTTACTGTATATGATATATATAGCCATATATATATATATATGTAGTGCTTTAATTTTTAAATATTGAAATTTGAAAAATTTAGAAAATATTTACACATTTGAAAAATGTAAAAATGAGATTAATTTGGAAGAAATTAATTAGCTATGTCAAAATGACTATATATTACTAATTAGGTATATCCAACTAAAAGTTATGGAAATAATATCACTCAAAATAGCATTTATAACAATAAAGGGAAACCATGGACAGGTTTAAGAATTGAAAAGATAGCAGTAGATAAAAGTTAACTGTAATACCTAAAAATTTATAAGAATCTTAATTTGAAAAATGTTAACAAGGACAATTATGGGTTAGTATGAAGTACCTATCATCCACAGTCTTACATGTTTGAAAATTTTGCATGCAGTTGGTGGCACTGTTTGGAGGTTGTGGAAGAAATAGCTCAAACCTCACTGAAAGTGGATCCTTGAGAGGTGGGTCCTGATGGTCTATTGGACTCTAGTGGTTCCAACTCATTCCCAGCTAGAATGTAGCAAATATCATACCTTCCTATTGCCATATCCTGTACTTACTTCAGTCACCATACCTTACTTGCTTTGAAGGATTCCAACAATTCAAATGGTGAACCCCAATAAACCCCTCTCACTACAAGACATTTTTGTTATTTTGGTTAGGTCATAGAGACAAAAATAGTATCTAATATAAGGACATATCTAGATCAAGTAACAAAATTTAAATTCATATTATCAAACAATAAAATTGGAATCATACTGTAATATACTTTTTAACTTGCTTTATTGTTTCAATTATCCCCATAAAGTTAATTCCATTTGTTACTAAA